AGCTTAAACATGTGAGAGGTTGATCGCGCAGAGAATCGCTGAGCGTTATGTGAGTGCGTGTGTAAAAGCAGCAGGATATATATTTTAGTTCTGCTGAGCCAAATAAGGCAGGTCAGCGTGAAGAAGTGACAGCCAAAGAAAAGCTTACCACAAAACGGAAAAGTTACGACAAATCAGACTATAAGGCAAAAAGAAAGTGCAGCTTTATGGTTTCATGGACAAAATAATTTCTGTGGCTGCAATATGACAAGCTATATAACCAGGGGTGCACATAAGTGGTCCGCAGGTGCGCATTCCCTGTCAAAATAAAAAATGCGCACAAGATAAGAAGTTGCAACACGTGTTTGCGTACATAAGATTTTCTGGGGGAGGACAGACATTTGTTTAGAACTCTTAAAGATGTCGCAGAAGCTCCTTTAAGCAATTACTTTGATGTTCCTCCACCTCCAAAGAAATGTCAGAAGGAGTCCGAACCACAAAAGAAGCACGTATTCTTGGGAAAGTGGTTGCAGGAGGTGAGCTGGCTTCAAACAAATGATGAACGCACAGAGATGTGGTGCGGAATGTGCCGTGAAAATCCCACTCTAGCGGACAAAAACAGTGCCTTTTATATGGACGCAAACGCGCGTTGCAACTTTTTATCTGGTGCGTGTCTTTTATTTTGACAGCGAATGCGCACATGCGGACCACTTATATGCACCCGGTTAAATAACATAATGTTCTGCCGGGTGTGTTGTTGGTTTTCCCTCGATTTCTGAGTCGACAAGCGCCTTTGTTACTGGGACCAGTCATTTTAAGAAAGGCCCCCCATTAGAACCCATGAGAAATGCAAGAAATGCATTATTGCTCAGTCTGCAATATCTTTCCCAGAACAAACACCAATTGCAAATAACATACTAAAAAATAAACCTGAAAATCAGTTTAAAACAGCGTACTATGTTGCAAAGAATGAACTACCACTGGCACAATTTAGCAGTCTTTGCAAACTTCAAAAAGCAAATGGCCTAGATCTTGGTTCCACTTGCCTCTTACCCGTGACTTCAGTGGAAATTTCAAATTCAGGATCTGACACAGACTGATTCATGTTCTACACAGTTCTTACAAGTTCATAGAAATTTCTGTTCAATTAGAACCAAGTATTTGAGTTGATGATTGTAATTTTTATTTGTTTATTATTTGTTTATTATTATTTATTTGTTTTTCAACAATTTTTTGATTAATGTTTTGTTTCCTTTACAATATTATACTTTAATGTATAATATTGTAACGGAAACAAAACAGGAAACAAAACATCAATCAAAAAATTGCTCTCTTTTTTATTCGGGCTACTTAAATTTATTTTGGGCTACCAAAAACTGAAGAGTCCCTGCCCGAAGGGCTACCAGGGATTTTGAAATTTTGCGAGCCCTGAAACATTACCAGGAATCAAAAGAAAATATTTAAATAAGAAACAGGCAGTGAAAAAAAATGTGCTGCTCTGACTGTTGCTGATTTACTCTCATGCACATCAGCCAATCACACAGAAGCGCTTTTAAGAAGAAGGTCGTTCCCACCTGAGTTGTCTGTCCTTGCAGACGGCCACCATGACCAGCAGGTTTCCAAAGATGCTCATCAGCATGACCAGAGACAGGAAGCAGATCAGGGCCATCCGCTTTGGCATGCTATCGCTGCAGGGAGATAAAACAACACCATGTCAGTTTAAGTCTAAAAGCCTGCTAGGATTCTGAACTGAGAGGATTCTGTCACATTTCAGGCGCCTTACAGTAAAAGAAGTTAGCGAGGGTGGTCTCTGCCTGCGTAGCTACCCTTGGAAAACACTGCTGTAATGTTTATTGATATTTACAAAGGTGTCAGAACTCGTCAGGCAGGGTACAGAGAGGCCGTCAGCTCTCATTTTATGCGAGAGAGAGAGTTAAAACTGCAGAGTGACCCCTCATGTGGCATTTATTACAGACAATATTACAATCTTTCTTTCATCAGCCTGCACCACGCGGGGGAGCAACAAGAAATCAGCCCTGCTCTCTGCTTGCGTCGGTTCATTAGGTTCAGCCTCTGGAGCTAGTCATTAGCGGTAAAAGCTCCATTCAAGTAAAGATGGATTTACCTGTTCTTGTTTGGTGTCTCTGGCTAAGAGGATGTCACTGAAAACATTCAGATGCAAATGAGATTTATTTCCATCTCCAAGCCTGCTGAACCCGAACAAGCAGCCAGGTGCAGCAGTGATGATATCCTGTGTATTTAAAAGCAGAGGTCTCTTCCTCTGCTGCACTGATTGCTTCCACCTACATAAGCACTCGGAGAGGCTTCAGGATGCATGGATGCGTCTCACAACAACAAAAAGAGACTCGGGAGTCACAGCGAGGAACAAACTCCCCTCCGCACCCTGCAGGTAGAACAGTATGGAGCAGAAGCTGAGAGCCAGATGCATCTGCACACTCAGAAAGAAAGGCGGACACATTTATGCTGTACCTATCTGATCAGCTTGAATTGTCACCAAAGTTCGCAGCAGACATTTTGTCATTTGGGTTTGATAAATGAGCGTGAAAGAAGCACTGAAACCAGCGCAGTGCAATTGTCTTCTGTGAAACCATTCATCTGCACAACACTGCTGCACGTCGAGGGGAGGCAGAGGCAACGTGAACGGCTCTCTTCATCAGGCCCAGAGCGAGCTCACGTAAAACGGGCATTTCACAGGTCACGTGACCCTTCTTCAGCTTTAAGTGGTCCCTGTGAGCGCCCCCTGCTCCAATCACGGACACTATGTGTGATCATGTTTCATGGTGATGATTCGACGCTCTTAAAACAAGAATCAGTGACGACGTGGTGCTTCCAGCTAGCTTTAAACAGAACCTCTGAACATGACCTGCTGCCAACCAGGTGATCAGTTCAGCACCAGTTACCACGGTGATCTAGCCAGGTAAAAAGAGAAACCCTTTGAGAAGCAGAAAGCTCACACAGCTCAGTAATACACTAGTCTGGCTTTGTAGCACAGGATAGTCGAATCAAGAGCAACAAACCAAAGTGTGAGTGCATCCTATCGAGCAGAAGCAAAACAAATAAAGTCTGCAGCAGCAGATGACCAATCAGAAACCTGCACAGGTGTACCAACCGCATGGGATTTTACAAAGAAAGAGATAAAACAGAGAATTCAGTCTGAAAGTAATAAGAAACAGCGACACAGGAGGTCTAAAAGCCTCCAGGCTTTTCTAGCTATGTGCAGACCACAGGACCACACAGGGATCTGATGCTAACGTCCTGGTTAGAGGTCCTCAGAGGTCCCGAGTCTGCCCCCGCTGCGTCAAAGCCCTTTTAGTAACAAAGGGGCCTAAATCAAAGTGCTTTCAGCGTTTGGCGGATTCATGCTATTCATGGCAGAGGTGCTCATGTCCTGGCTCCAGCATCGCTGCTGCACCTCAAAGCTGTGCTCTGATTTTTTATATCAACTTTCGTACACAGCCTGTTTGAAAGACCCCATTTCCACCTCCTGGGGTCGAGCTGTGCTGAGCCTGAGACACGAGAAGGTCAAAGCAGGCGAACGATCTTTGTAACAGAAAAAACCCGGACACAGAAACCCGAACACAAATCACTTCTCCCCAAAACACAACAAACAGCATTTACTGAGGTTAAACTGTCATCATAAGGAGCATAAACACAAAAACACACTCGCCTGTTTTACAAAGCTCATCTTCCAGCGATAACTGAGACGTCTTTGGTCATAGATACAGAACTGACATGTTGCGTATTCAGTATCCAACATGGGGAATATGATATGATAAATAATACAGGCTAAAACTGCAGGCATTGCATTTTCGCCCCCACACACGTATAACCTTTAGAAAATGTCTCGGGTCCAGCCAGCGTGAGTTATGAATCGAAGCTCCTGGAGCCACTTCTGTGGTTTGAGAGATCTCAGAAAGCGAGTCTTTAAACTCACACTTGTTTGACATCGGTAATGCATCACAGCAATCCTTCTGAGGTTTGCTGTCTCTCTCGCAGCTCACAGCCTGGCGGGGAGGTGGGAAAACACGATGAACGACAGCGACTGACACGGCTGGGTGGGCAACATCTCCCCACATGAGAAAATTCAAATTTCTACAGGAGAAAGTGACGTTTAGAGACGTTTATCTCTGGCTTTTATGTACTGTCCACATTATCGGTAACATGCAAACATGAGCCTCTGTGCTGAATTCAGGAACCTGTCCCCGTCTGCCAAATGATTTCCCTCTCAGCATCCGAGGTTCAAAGGCAAAGTGATAGTGTGCAAATGAGGCTTGTTCTTTGATCCGTGATGCCAGTGCACTAATCAGATCAAACGGGAACGCTGACTTCTCAACAGAAGCCATTACCAAGAAATAATCAAGAGGCTTCACAATAATCCTTCACGTCGAGTTTGTCAGGTACACCTTTCCCCTAAATGAGACACTGATACGCTCATTATGGCGGTATCACCTGGCTTCTAACATGGCGACAGGTACGAAAGGCGCTGTGCAAATATTGGCTTTGGTGAGAGAGTCTCGGCTCATTTTGCTTTTATAATTAATGGATCAGCTGCAGAAGCTAGAGCAGTGCTGAGCGCACACACTTACTGATCATTAGCTGATCATTAGCATGACGTTCACTCGCTACAGCTGCTGGTGGTCTGCTCCTTAATGAACAATTAGGCCACACCGTCCGATGAAAAGGATTTTATTTAGGATTTAAACTCCACTGTCAGAACCTTAAACACAGACCTGCAGCTTCCACAGCAAACTTTCAGCGAACTGACGCTTTGACACTTAAACTAAGAGGTTCAACATTTCCAAGCACAACACTGTTGTTGTTATATCATAGTTTTTTTCTAAAGTGGGAGTAAAGTTTGTGTAAATCATATGACGATCCACCTGTCACCAGGTTTACAGCTGTTCTCAGTGTTTATGCTCATGGGCTGGGCACAGAGCTCGCTGCCATAAAAAAGGGACGGTGCAGCAATCACATTAGCACTTTAGGACACACACCTGACCCATACCTGGACACACACACACACCTGAGGACAGCCTGCTCTTGAAGCCATTATTTTAAAAAGTGACAGTGAAGTGCAGCTAATCCAACAGATGGATGAAATATGTGATAACCCTGTGTTATTTATACCGTGCTGATAGGAGCATGTCTTGTTCATGTCTTGAACTTGTTCAAGGTCAGCACGGGACCACACTCAATACTGTTTAGTCTCTGAGCTGAGAGATCTGTCTGAACCCAAGAGGACGTCTGTGTAGGTTCTCAGTGTTCCAGGTCAAGGTAGCATGAAGAAAACTGCACTTCTTCAGGTTTGTCAGGCCCTTTCAGCTCTCATCCAAGTGGCCTCTGCAGTTCTAAAGGCTGATGTCCTGCCTATTTAACCCTAACGCCCAAACCCCAATCAGTGTGTGGAGTGGTTGTTCTGTTCTGTCTGATGGAACATTGGTTCTCGCCTGAGCATCTTCGCTGATTTAATAAATGCACAGTTTGGACAAACACGTGTTTTCAGTGGTCACATGATGATGGGGGACATCAAGGTGACAACACCAGTAAGGGTTAAATAGTCCATCAGTTTTTAGGATGGAGGACATCTTCAGGATGAGAAGCGAGAATGAAGGCCAGCTGCTGGGAGGCAAACACACACCAGGACACCTGCATCTGTGTCTTGTTTGGGACTGTGACTACACACCTGACAGAAGGCATCACACACAGTAACCCGGCTCCTGATCACTCTTCAAAACGCGCTTAATTAAGCTGTGACTTCTTCAGATTGAGTGTAACGTCTCATCCAAGTACGTTATAAGGTAAAGGGTTTGGAAAGAACACAGCTGACGTCCTTTGAAAGCAAATGTGCTTAGGTGACAGACATCCACAGACGACAGAGGCAGGAATTTCCTCTGCTGCTCCTCAACGATTCTGCAGACGTACAAAAAGGGCTTTCTGCTGTTGAAGCAGAGAGACTGAGAAAGACAAACAGAGAAGCTGTGGAACAGTGGGTTTGAAGGATGAAAGACATCAGATACACGTGAACTTTGACCTGAGTTAAGCTGGGTATGCTAGGTAATCAGCACAGAGCAGCCTCAATTAGGAGCTCAGAGGTGACAGATGAGCGGGGAAATACGTCCATCATCCATAACATCTGGTTTCTCTTACTCCTGGTGAAGACTAAATGCACATAAATAATGTTTTTGCACATTCTTGGCTCTGAGCTTGATATTCTCAGTTGGTCTGACTCTGGTGAGTGACAGCTGGAGAGCCAAACCTTTGAAATATGAACACACACGTATAAAAAAAATCCTTTTACAGCTATAGGGGATCACATATCATGTGGCTGAACTAAATGAGCTTCCACAGATTGGCTGCATGGAGCTGACTGTTAGTGAGAGCTGGACTGAGCTCTCAGAAGTCTTCACTGAGGTCCTCTCAGAGCTGAAGCTCAAGCAAAAATGCTACGTGACAGCGTGCACGGGATCTGTCGAGTCAACTGAGGTGGGCCGACAGAGATTGTTTTGTTAGTTCCACCTGCTCGCAGTCATTTCCCCTCCTCACCACCTGACCGCAGCTGATGCAATCAAATCTGCAGAAACGCCACAGGGTGTGGTGACGCAGCTCGTCTACACAGCATAAAAACACACCAAAACCTTTTTTTCTGTTCTCTGTGCCACACATTTAC